AGGTTGGACTCTCAATATCTTTTCCAAGCTCTCAGAACATTTCCAGGAAGACGAGGAGAAAAGAAATCTGCAAACTTATTTTCCTAATGTAAGCTCTTAAATGTGATTTCAGTTGATCGTATAAAGTAATCAAATGTGCACATTTCATATCACTCACAGTATTTTTCATTATCATTATGTGTAATTCATAAATATACATTTGTATTAACAAATCTTCTCTGCTAAATCTTTCTTTCAATAATTCAATTACTTTGGAGTAATTCTGAGCCACAGGGGAAAACTCTAAAGCTGCTAAACTGGCAGCTCGAGACCTAGAAGTAATTGTCAGAATCAAATATTGGAACTTATTAGCCGGCATCTCTTCAACCTCATGAATTCTGGAAAACTGACTCCAAAATCCCATTAAATATCTGAATTTCTGATTTTGGCAACTGCATTGATCTGTCATCAGGATTTTTTTCAAAATTTTCAACCTTTAGCTTAAAAGCAGATACTTTAAAAGACTGTATAATTTTCAAGCTTTGCTGAAATCTTTAATGCACTCCTTTTCCTGTCTTTAATCGTCCAGGTAATAATTCAGAAATTGTATGTTGAGTACTTTCTAAGCACTGAAATTTATCATGTAACTGTGAATTCAGTTCACGAAGTCTGGGAACATTCTCTTTCGTTTTTGTAATTTCCTTGGCAATAGCCTGTGTTGTACAGTACAAAGTCTGAAATCCGGACTGGTCAGGACTTTGGCGATGCTGGGTTTGGGATTTTTCTGGATATTAGATCATCAGTTTAAATCTAGTAAGATGGCATGTAGAAATTATAAAATTAAAAATATGAAATCGTGATTAATGAAATAATGAAGTATTTATGATATAAAGGGCATCAAAATTTACAAAAAAAAAAAAAAGCTTAATATTTATTTGTTTACCTTATTAAACATTTCTTTCAATGTAAGTTGTTTAAGTTGCTTCTTTTTTGTTGCTAATACTTTCTCTTTAATTCTGTAGACAGACATAATCTCTTGTTTAGTTACATTGTTGAAGTCCTGTAACTGCTATTTCGAGAATTCCAACTAACTTGTCAATCAAAATTTTCTTGTTTTCAGTAACTTCTCCGACACTTTCTTCACTATCGGTAGCAGTATTTTCTCGATCTGGAACCATATTGCAGATTTTGCCATTCATTAGTTGATTGATGATTGAGAAGCTTTGTCATCGCAATGAAAAACTTCTTTTATATCATCTTCATTAATTGCTTCTCCACATTTATTTACAAAAATCTGTTAATTGGAAAATTTCGTCTTTGTTTTGGAATATCCGAAAACCTCTCAAATTAGCGGCTATCATCATCAAATTTAGCTATCCTTCACTATGAATATTTGGCTATGCATCATGAGCTTGCCAACTAACCTCAAGTTGTTCCGTTAAATTTGATCTTGCTTCTATCGTGCACTGAGACAAGTAAGCCTGAATTGTGTTAGTTATACTTATGTCTATCTCTTGCACATACTTAAGCCTTATCAGAATTCTGAATAAATAAATTCCCATGTATACTTAAGCCTTATTGAGGGCTGGCGCTGGATATCTTACCGCCTGATGCAGTATCTGTGGGTCCTAAATTCTGCGACTCGGTTCGGCCATATGAGCCCTGGTCCTGGTTCTCGGTTTATGTGAATAACAAATCAGTTATTCTTAATTCAGATAGCCCAAAATGTAATCTTTGGATCTATGAGTATCATCAACAAAAATCTATTTTTAGCATATGGAAAGAAATTTTTGGTTAATTTTTCCTCATCAACATTTTTTAGCACATTTAACTTAAATCTGTAATCATCGCCAAGCATAATGTCAACATAAAAGGTTACCGTACTCCTTTGTTATTCAGTTACTAACGTAAAAAAAAAAAAAAAAAAATGTTTAGGAAGCTCTACATGAGTCATTACTCAAGTTGTCATATTTTGATAAACATGCAGTGATGAAAGGAAAGTATAATAAATAATGATTCACCTGGTTGGTGTCAGATCAATGATGTATCTATGTGGAATGTTTCAGTTTGAGATGTGTGCCAAAGCAACAGAACTCAGCAACAGAGCCAAATTACTGATTGTACAAATATATGCTAAAATGATTGTTTCTTCAAGAACAAGGTATTTTGTTTAGTGTCGAAGTGAAATAAAAAATTTGGGACTCTCCAGAAGTTTTATTATGTGCGAAGGGGAGAATCAAATGCACCATGCATAAAGCCTACCAGAAAAATGTTGGTTTTGAGGTCCGGATTTTAGATCATTCCGGATAATGGGCATCTGGATTTTGTACTTTGTACTGTATTCGTAAATGTTATACATAGTTTTACACTCTAGCTTTAAAGCATGTATAATGAAATATGAATGCTCATGAGACACTAAAAGGCACAAACATTTAACGTCTAAATTCAAATTGTACCTTGTTTATTTTGTAGTTACTCCAATTTCTGTCACTGATGCCAATTAATTTATTCAAACTTCCCAAGAAAAATAACACAGAAGATTCTTGTAATCTTAAACTAAATATCTTATTTTATAGTAAATCACTTTTACTAACTTAGGCTTAGAAGTTCTTATTACCACAAGTTACTGACAAAACGTTTTCTCTATATTAAAACTTCTCTTGTTGTTGTGGCTACATACAAAATAAAACCCTAAAGCTGATAACAATGAATATCAATTTGCAACTGAGAAATCAAAAATTAATTGCCCCCACCATCCAACTTCAATTGGAGAAATGGAAAGATACGCCCATACCTTAAAAATGAAATTCAAGAAGTGTGCCAAATGAAATTTTTATCTTGGTACTCTTTGCTTGAAAGTCTTGTTTCAATGTAAAATTACTCCACCCAAATGATAAACTTCTAGCTGAAAATGCGCTAAGATAAAATCTTAGAATGAAATTAAATCTGTTACAAACCACAGTCATCTAGAACCTTTAATAATATGGCAGAACAAGCCAGATTTGAGAAATGCTTTTTTAAGATTGGGAAAGTATTCAACCACAAAATGATGTCTACATTGTGGAACTGTGGCATAATATTTGAAAGACTAGCTAAAAAGAAAAAAAGTTTATTATTTGATTGAACTGGATGATGGTTATATGATCATTTAGCACATACAACCACTTATGCCCGTGTTAAATTAGAAACAACCAAAGTCGTTCATTAGTTATATTCCCATGAAGAAATACATAAGATTAATATACCATGCAGAAGAACCCAGTCTTCAACTCCTGATGCATCCATGCAGACATTTTCAAAAATAAGGAAACATTCTAGTTCAACAAAAATGAATAGCACTGCTTTAGGTTAGTATCAGCTGTTGTAAGGCCAGTGCTAACACAAATTACATGGAAACATCGAATATTGTACGAGAATTTGCTAACCAGTTGTTCATTTTAATCTGTAGGACATTCCAGAAACTATAAATGTATTTAAAGGAAGGGAAAAAAACTTTAAAGTCGGTAAATACTAAGTGAAGGAGAATTTAATGTATTTAATACTTAACAAAAGTGATAAAAGGTGGTTGATTGCATAAAGAGTAAAGTTTATAATTTCTCAGTGTAAGAATTTACGACAGTATCTTGTGATCAAACAAAACATTTCATTTAATTTTTTTTTCCATAAGTAGACATGTTTCACAGAATGGAAAATGAAACGTGTTGGTAATTTTTGCCACTTTTGCTGGTGGTAGAAGGAATTCAGCTCTTAATATTCTGTAGGTACACTTATATACCAATTACCAATGATTCTGTGTGTTCCAGAGGATTTTTGCTTTTATGAGAAAGGTTAATGGGAGAAATGTTTTGATTTATGCAATGCTTAAGGACTGATCTCAAACGATGACTTGGGTTTAGTGCAGATTGTGTGAATGTTTTGAACACTGGTGAGAAATGGTATATTTGAAGAAAAAAAAATTGTGTTTATTAAAACAGTCAAGCATACCATCATATTTTCAAGACTTGTGTCATTCACAGCGAATGACAAACCTCAGCTTTTAGTACTGGGATAGATAAAACTGTAGAGATATGAATGATGGCTGAATTATTTAGATTATCTTTTCTTTTTAATATGGTGGTCTGCTGTATTTCTTATTGTCAGCTCTCCAATAATGTAGTAATGCATCATTGTCACTGCTGCTAACGCTAAGCCTTCAAGCCTATTGACTGTTGTACTTGTTTTGGAAGATGAAAGTACAGTATGTATACATTATTTGTATTTAATCATAACATTCACAGTTAACTGAGTGAAATCGAATTAACTATTTCAGTTATTTTTGTTTTTATGCATCGTTTGCTAAGGTAAGCTAGGTTATTTTTGAAAGCTGAAAAATGGTAACTGCTGCTTCTCTTTCAGTTTGGGTTACAAAAGTTTTACAGGAATTCTGTATTTTCATAAACTGTGGGAACCCTATATTATTTTTTGATTTTTTTGGGGGGTGGAGGGCGGCTTAGCCACTTAAGACATGGTTTCAATTTTATGTAATGTATTTCTTAATTGCAAATGTCAAAGGATATCTATTGTATAGATCTTCATAAACTTTAACATAATATCTTAATTCATTTGTGACGTCTTTTGTGCTTTATCAACATAAACTTTCTGAAATACGAGTCTGATTTATACAAACAAATTTTGAGCAAATTTTAATAAACAAAAACACACAAACAAATTTGAAAACAAATTTTAATTTGCATAATATTTAATCAAAGACTCTTTGCAGTTTAAATTATACAATGTGCTCACAGCAGAAATAACTGATGTTACTGCTTTTGAAAAGAGAATAGGTAGTGACACAATTGCATTTTGATTTCATGGATGCTTTTAAATTCTGATGATGCTGTGTCCTGCTTACTCTTATTTCTTATGGAAGGGAATGACTCTGGAAATATTTTGAAGGGTTTTATATATTGAAAATATTCTGTGTTGCTTGAAAGCTAAAAATGAAATTGTGTCACTTAAAACATTTCATTGTTATAATTTAGTTTTAGGTGGAGGCATCATGGAGTTTTAAGCATATAGCTTGAGATGTCATCTCATGGTGGAGGTGGGGCTTCCCTTCCCCACTCTCACAGCAGTCCTAGTGGAATGTATCCAACTCCATCGTCTCCAGAGGGTAGGAGTCTAGGCAAAAGGCTTCCAGTGCAAGTCCATTTCCTTGATGATTCTGTTGCTTCTTTCAATATACAGGTATGTAAAAGTGCTTTAAAATGATTTAACTTCTACATGATGATGTACTTCCGTATCCATAGTTCAGTGAAAAATGCAAATTATATTTTCAATGATTTGTAAGCATGAGATATGCAGTGTAAACAAGTATTAATATCTTAGCCTTATATGGTTTGTATAAAAAGGAGAAAAATTAGTCATTAGGGCACATTTTAAAAAAAGTATTAATTCACAATAATAAAATTATTGTTTGCAAGCCTGGGGAAAATAGTTTTGATTCTGTGCAAAAGAAGTTAATGTTAAAGTGTCGGGCAAATGCTGTTTTGTATAAAATTTTAAGCTTCTAATTAAAATATATTTTATTTTTATCACTTGCATGTAAAAATACATTTAATTCTTAAATACGTTTTTTTTTTTTTGGAGGAGAGGTGGCCTCATGAAAGCAGCATTTCTGGTTGTAGTATATTAATAACTTAATCAGAAAAATCGTTCTTTCCTATAAAATAAAGGTCTTGATCTCATCTGAAACCTAAAATCAGAAATTCGGAGAAAATAAATATAAGAGGAAAAAGTGTAGTTTCTTAAAAATACAAATTAAATTGAATTAATTATAAATGTCTCTTATATCTAGATTAATAAAAGCTATTGCTTATCTCTATTGCAGCAAGTGTTCTTGATTCTCTGCAATGTCTCCCCAGAATATAATGATAGTGTTATGTACACTCTAATGTTACCTTTTGTTTTTATATAAAATATGTTTCATAATTTTTGGGACATTGTAAAGTTTCCTTAAAGCATTTTTTACATGTATGCAATAAAACAAAGAATAAGGCCCATTTTCAAATTTTGTCAAATTTTGTCTAGAAGAAAATTCAAGATAAATTAATATTTGAAGTTTAATTTGAGCATTGCATAAAGATGACTATAAATGTATTTCTACAATTTAAAATATAAAAAAATCAAGTGAAATTTACAATGGTTTGTATCTTAGATATAAATCTTAAAACAGATAGATATAACTTTTAAAAAATGTGATCGTACGCAAAAATGCCTGTCCGTTTCAAGTTTTATGTTATTCAACTTCTTTGTTTTGTAACCAAATTAATTTTTTTTAAATAAAGAAGTTTAATTATTTTAAATATGAACTATTAGTGTGTTATATTCATGATAAAAATTAATTAACACAAGTTTTTTTCTTTAGAAAATCAATAAAAATAATTTGTCTTCCACTTCATGTCAAGTATGTTACTTCGAGATTATATTACCCACAATGAGTTTGTAAATCTTACAAACTCATTGTGGGAACAATATTTTAAATAAATAAAATAATCTCAAGGTAATGGACTTGACATAAAGTGACATAAAGTTATTTTTATTGATTTGCTAAACTTGTATCTAAAAAATTTCAATTGATTTTTTTTTTAAATTTTAAATTGTAGAAATATATTCATAGTCATCTTTATGCAACGTGTTGCTCAAATTAAACTTTATTAATTTATCTTGAATTTTCTTTCTCTTCTTCTGGGACAGCATATATAAGCAAAATTTGAAAATGGGCCATAAATACTTTATTAAAAGTAAAAGTATTCTAGAAATGTACTACTTCTTTTGTTATTTTAAAAGGCAATCACAAAGAATGTTTGTTTCATATTTATTGAGACAGAATATTTACTTTTGCCAATAATTATGATACAAATATGATGTTATCCTTAGTTAAATATGACTTACTTTGAATATGAGTTACTTTAAATATGAGTTACTTTAAATATGAGTTACTTTGAATTTAGATGTGTATTTTTTACGTTGTAGTTTTCTTTCTTTTTTTTTTTAAATCGTATAGACTTGAGAAAAACATTTTTCTATGTGTAAAAAGGGTAATCTAAGTATTTGGAGAATCAGTTACACTTAGTTTTAGTTAACTGAGAGGCCTGGATAAACATTTTTTTGTGTGTGTGTTTTAATAACAAAAGATAAGTCTTAAAATTAAGCCCAAATAAATTCGTACTTCAAAAACAATGTTTTGCTCTGTAGCCCAAAAAGCAAACAATGAATAATAATGAACTGATGAAGTAATGAAGTATCATTGCTTTTGGCTCTACTCTTATATGTGCCCTAAGATCACCAAATGTGGGGATATGTGTTCTGCCGTGGTTTTTAACGCGATTCCGTGCTGTGGGATGGTTTGGTGGACGATGCTGTTTGTGTGGCAACCCTTTTGACGTTGAAACTTATCTCTTTTGCTGCAGTGGTTTCATTGCTTGTTGGTTCGTGTTGTGCGTGTTCTGAATGTTGCAATGAGAGACGGGGTGGCAAGATTTCAGTTGCATATTTTGGATAGTGTGCAATGTAAATTTAGTATTAAAAGGTACGAAGTTGGAGTTGTTAACGAGTCTTTTGTTCACAGGTGTGTTTATGCAAAGTTAAACAGAATGCTGTGTACATGGTATTCTTTGAAATTTATTGTTGTTATGTTACTTTATTAAAGCGAGGTGTGCATAGTTCGTAGATTATTTCACTGCCTAGATTGTGCAATTCGTAGATTTTTTTTTTTTTTTAAAGTTAAAACATATTGCTGTGTACATGGATTCTTGTCAAATATTTTTGCTTAGAAACTTTACGTTTTTGCTATCTAAATGGTTTGGCGACCTGAGGGTGCATATAAGAGTAGTTCTTTGCTTTTATTTATATAAAAATATGAAGCCATTTTAATTGCTTCTTTGTATTTCTTTTAAAACATTTTTAATGCTACCTTAAAAGGATCCTTATGTATGTATCTAGGTACTTTGTCCTTATGTAGGTATCTAGGTGAGAAATTTGGTGACCTGAGGGTGCATATAAGAGTAGTTCCTTGCTTTTATTTATATAAAAATATCAAGCCCTTTTAATTGCTTCCTTGTGTTTCTTTTAAAACATTTCTTAATGCTACCTTAAAAGGATCCTTATGTATGTATCTAGGTACTTTATTTAGACTCTTAACATCTTAACTTAAAATCAGTTTCTAGTTGTGATTAAAGGGTAAACGTTATTAAATTGCTCAAAGTGAAAAATTTTGAAATAAATGGTTTAATTTGTAATGCTCTTTCAGTTGTGATCATTTCAAAAGGAGTATCTTTTAACTGAAAATTAAGGACTGAAGTATGAAATTTTGAATTCAGTACTATTTGATATGGAGCCATGAGCATTAAGTCATATGCTGGTAGAAATAGGAAAAAAAAAATAAAAAAAAAAATAACGTAAATGAGTAGTACAATAAAAGCTCAGTTTCCAAGAAGTTCAGGAAATGCTGAATTCTGACTATGTGAAATTTCCAAATAGTTGAGTATAGAAAAAAATGGGATTCATGCTATGAAGCCAAATCAGGAAAGAAAGTTTCTGTGGTAAAATTATAAATTCTGTGGTACAATCATCTTATTTGTTGCCAACGTAATATCAAAAGCCAATGTTTAAAATTCTGTAAGATTTCAGAAAAAAAAAAAAAAAAAAAAAAAAAAAAAAATGCATTTCAGGCATTAAGACTGGCATATTTTGTAGACTTTAAACATGAGAGTAAAACATCTTTACCAAATTATGAAATCCTGCTGTCCATGAAAGTTGGAAGAGATGTTGTCAATTATTATGACATCTGTTTTCAGCATATGGAAAGAAATTTTTGTTAAATTTTTCCTTTTCAACATTTCTTAGCATGTTTAACTTAAATCTGTAATCATCAGCAAGTGTAATATCAACATAAAAGATTATCATACTTTTTGCTATTCAATTACTAGTATAAAAAATTTGTATAGGTACTGCTACATGAGTCATTACTTAAGTTGTCGTGTGTTGATAAACATGCAATGATGAAAGCAAAATTTAATAAAAAATTATTTGCAAGGTTGGCATCAGGAATATAAAATATTAATACAGTCAAATACCGAAAATCTGCCGACCTGAAATCTGCGTTGCCGCTCAGGATATAAACATTCCGTTTATAGGTTCCAGAAACTGCAACATTGAGTATGAAATATCAAAGAAAAAAATACTTACCGAATAATGACATCATAATTACCGAATAAAAATGAGTCAAAACGGAAATACCAAATCTTTGATATAAAAAAGTTAAAAAAAAAGGATAAAATAAATATTTTCCCCCTCTAATCTGCATTGAGGTAAAAAAGCAGATGATTCACTCAACTCTTTGTTCAAGTTCACGATTCACGTTGTATTTTCTGAGCTTTGTTATTTCATTTCACGAGATTGTTTAGTGCTGCCTTTTTTTTATCTGCATATTTTGTGGATAAATTAAGAATATTTTTAATTTCAGCCCTTTTTAATACAATGACAGATAAGAAACGCACTCGTGATTTTACTGCTTACAACGTTGAAAAACGTAAACACGTTGCATTGACGGTAACGCAAAAAGTGCAAGTTCTGCAAAAGATGGAAGCAGGTGCTACTCCTCAATGTATAGCAGAATGGTATGGAAATGCGACACAATTTTGTATGATATACGAAAAAATAATGAAAAGCTGTTGAAATTTTACAGCAACAGTCATTCTAACACCGGAATCTGAAACCGGAAATCTTTGCATGAGGCGAAATTGGCAAACCTCGATGCTGTGTACGTATAATACAATGAATAATATAATCAATTTATATATGTAATAATATTTAATGCATATAATAAATTATTGAAATAATGTATATAATAATTTAATTAAATGTATCTGCCTTATTCATTTCGCACTTTTAGTCCGAATATTATGCTTTATCTTTTCTGTCCTGAAATCCGCAAAATCCTAAAATCCGCACAACCTCTGGTCCAAAGCTTTGCAGATTTCTGTAATTCTACTGTAGTTTAAAATCAACAATGTTTCTAGGTAGAATGTTTCAGTTTGAGATGTATGTGAAACAGATATGCAGCTACAGAGCCAAATTATTGATCACACAAACTAAATGCTAAACTGATTGTTTCTTCAATAATGAGGTATTTTATTTAGTGACAAAGTGGAATTAAGAATTGAGACTCATCATATGTTTTATTATGGGGGTGGGGGAAGCAAATATGCACAAAGTGTACAAAAAAATTCTTTAAAAAAAAAGTTATTGGTGTCTTTCACGTCTGGATTTTAGATCATTCCGGATCTCGGACTTTGTACTGTATGTCGATTTCAGTCTTTCACAGTTATTTAAATAAAATGTTATTCAATTTTGTTAACATTATTACTTTTTAACTAATGCTTTTTATTACTTCTGTTGTAATGTTTGACGAGTCTCTCTTGAAGCATTTTTTGTTCTGCTTGAGGAATAATGCTTATTTATTAGTCTATGTTGTTATAATAAATATGGATTTTACTTTTTTTTTTTTTTAGTTCAAAGCACTTGGAAAAGTACTCTTTGACCAAGTTTGCAAGCTTTTAAATTTGCTAGAAACCGATTATTTTGGTTTAGAATATGTGGATTGCTCTGGAACAAAAGTGAGTATCTTAGTTGTATTTCATTATAATAATGCTTAAATATATCCTTGCCAGTAGCTGAGTAATTAAGACCCCTGAGTACTGGTAATTTGATCCTGGTTTAATCCTAGGTTAGTGGACTGACTGCATGGTTAGTTTGTGTGGTTTTCCCATTGTGAAAAGTGTGAATACAAGCTAGGTTCTCAAAGAAAATCTTCGGCAAAGGCATCCCTTCTCTTAGGCAGACAACCATAGCGTGCTTTGCCATATTAAAAAAATTAATTAATTTATCACACTTAAAGATTATTTTATCATTTTATCAATCCGAATAAGTGTTAGGCATTCAATTTTATTGCTGTATTTAATAGAAAAGTATTTAAATTCTGAGTTTTATTTTGTGTTTATAGTTTGAGCTCATATCATGCAGTACATAACTGCCACTGTCTGAAATTGATGTGTTTAGTTCTGTTTAACTTACCATAGATTCAAGTTAAGCAAACATGTACAGTAGTAACTTAATAATTTTGCTACTTTCTATCTTGCAAAGACATTTTTAATAATATATGTTGAAAATTAAGCATTAATGAAATAGCTACTCATCTTTGTGTGTTATTTAGTAAAGGCTAGTTACCATAGCCTGTAATTAATAATAGATTTGACCCTATAATGTGAATATTTGTCTGTCAAGGTAAGATGTATAAAGGAAAGCAATGATATATTTGAATTGCCACGCAGAGTACGCAAAAAGAGTGAGGATTGACATCAAAGTTAAAATAGTTCCATAGAAATCTAATAATTCATGGCCACTTAAAATTCTTTAATGCCTGTAATCTGTGTTAATTTTTTAGACATTAAAGAAACAAAATTTTGATTTTCATAAAATTCAGCCTGGTAAATTAAATGCTAATTTTTTTCTAATATTAGTACAAACAAACTTCTAACAAAACATTATTTGGGGCATATGCTGATTAAAGAGGTTAATTGATTTCAATATTGAAGTTATTTAACATTTTGTGTGGAACTGATTTTTCACAATAATCGTCGATCATGAATATGGAAAATTTTTATGCTAGGTAAATCATTACTTTTGAGTGTATATTTTGTTTCTTTAAAAATTTATTGTGAATTTACGTGGTTAACTTATGTAAAGAATTTATATATCCAGAATTTTACAGATGCTGAGTTTCAAATGAAATGTGCTTTGTTTCTTGTTTGTTTCTGTTCTGTGCAACAAATGCAGACTTGTTTGTACTGGTAGCAAAAAAAAAAATATATATATATATATATATATATATATATTCTTAAAAATAGCTGTTAGAGAGATTTTTGTGTCATTGAGAATCGCATGCTAACATTTATATTTAAGCTGCTATTGGTATAACAGCTTAGGTACAGAATATAGTGGTTGCTTTTGGCATGGGGATGCAATTTAGCGAAAACCATATTGCTGAGTTTTGTAAACAGTGTAGTTACTTATATACATAGTTTTTCTATACATAGTTCTTAAGTCATCAAAAAGTAATTTAAAAGTAATTCTGCAGGCATTTATATGATTTTATTAATATTTTAACTCATTTTGTACAAAAATGTTTGCTTAAAAAATTTCCACTTATGCTTTTTCTCCCAACAACACTTTCCTCTTGTACTGTAACATTTTGTACATAGTACATTTGTACATGTAATAATTTTGTGTTAAAAAAAATGTGATAATTTTATATTCAAGTAAAAAAATGTAATAATTTTGTATTCAAGTAAAAAATATAATAAATTTGTATTCAATAAATCTGGATTAAATATTTTGTAAAGGTTGATTTCATTAGTTAGCTCTGTGCAAACAATCTAAATTTAATGCAAAAATTGAAAAGGGAAAAATGTAGGTACACTGACCTGTAATCTGTGAAATTCACTAATTTGCATTATTCTTTAATCCAGAGGCCTGCGGATCAAAGGTAAGGGAGTGATCATAATTTAAGCAGATTAAGTCCATCTTCTATCCTCTAGCTTCTCAATCAGGAGTGATTCCTTCCTTGGGGAAATTTCATAATTTCAGGGGAGGAATGAGGTCAGCCTTTTATTTACCTGTTAAGTATTTAATTTTAGTTTATGAATATAAAAAAACACTTTTGTTCAAATTTTGTTTTTATCAGCATTTTCTGTACTTTTTATTGTTTAATTTATAAGACACATTACAAAATAATCTAAATTTAAATAAATGTACATATATTTTTTGAGTTTTGGAAAGGAAGGTGGGAATGATGGTCTAGCAGTGGTGAAAAAGGGTGCATGGGACAAAAGGTTGAGAACCCCCTGTTGTAGAAATTATTGGTCTAAATCAGGGGTTTCAACCAATGGTACACAAAGAAGTAAAGTATTTTTAACTATTAAATTCAAAAATTAAAACCCCCAACATCCTGTTTTTCCCCCCCCTCTAACACTCGTAAATTTATGCGATCTGAGCTTTGTTCAAGAGGGGTGGTGCTAGTAGTACTTTGTAGTGGTAGTACTAAAGATTTTCAATTTTTGTTCAGATCAATCAGGATGTTGGGGTTTTAATTTTTGAATTTAATAGTTAAAAATGCTATACTTCTTTGTGTACCACCGGTTGAGAACCCCTGATTTAGACCAATAATTTCTACATCAGGGGGTCACACTTTGGTCAAAAGGTTGAGAACTGCTGGTTTAAATGGCACAATGTCTTTGTGGCCTGTGTTACCTGTGTCCCTAGCTGATGTAAATATGTAGTTAAATATACACTCTGTATACTGCCTAGCAATACTAATTGAATTGATGATTGACCATTGGCTGACTGAATAAGATTGTAGAAATTTTAGGTTATTTTGAAGTAAGAGACATGAAAAATGTGCAGTGCCCTCGCCGGGACTCGGATCTTGGACTTGCTGAATGTGCTCATCATTACACCACGAAGGCATGCTAAGAAGGCGGGAGAAATACTTTATAAGACTGCTACTCATAAGTAGTCCCACCAACGGCAGAGCGGTAAAATCGCTGAACACTGGTAGTTCGGTCCGAGGTTCGAATCCCGCGAACGGGCTGGCTGCATGGGCGTTTTCGTGGTTTTCCCCATGTGTAACGTGTATACGAGCCAGTTTCCCTTAGAAAGTCCTCCACGAAGGCATCCCTCATCTTAGGCAGATAGCCCTAGAGGCTTTGCCATAATCACATACACACACACACACTACTCGTAAGTATTGGTAGGCTTTTGTTGTAAGTTTTTACAGTTCATTGTGAAGATTAGTGAAAGGCGAAATTAAGAATTGTACATTGCGTATTGACATTATGAAGTCATTAACCCTTTGTTTATGGCTGCCACTTTTACATATCAGATGGGAATGTACTCTGAAAAGTTATGGACAAAGATATACTTCAGAAGAAACTTGGATTGGATTATTCAAGTATGGGAAAGCACACGAGGCCTATCTGCCTGAAGGGTGGGATGCCTTCGTGGAGGACTTTCTAAGGAAAACTGGCTCGTATACATGTTACACATCGGGAAAACCACAAAACATCCATGCAGCCAGCCCTTTCGCAGGATTCGAACCTCAGACCGAACTACCAGTGTTCAGCGTCTTCAACGCCCGGCTGCTGGTGGGCCCAAAAGAAACTTGTAATTGTTTGAAATTTCTTTGTAAATATTGTTATTTTTGGTAGTCTACTTGATAATTGGATGATGCATAATATAGGGTGATATTTGATTGGAGATATTTAAATTTAACTTTGTATCCCGTATAAAATCCAGTGTTAAAGGCTGTTACCATAATTCAATAATACATCATGTGATCATTTCACCCTTTTTAAATATTTTCTTTTCATGAAATTTCTGCTTCTCAGATTGAAATTGCCTTGATCAGCAACGGTTGGAAATTTAACCAACGTTTTCATTTCTATGTTGAATACTATTACATTCTGCTGCCATGGTATTTATTATTTGATTATCCTGCGAATAGATTCAGTTGTTTTGAAAAGTCATAAATAGATTTAGAATGCTTATAATGCAGCGTAAGTTCTCATAAGTAATTTTTGGCCTTGTTGGAAATAAATTTTAAAAGCACTAAAGCTGTGGGTAATGCATTAAAAAATGGTGTGGAATAACGTAAATCAATTCTTGTTGGTTCGGTGATTTTGTCTATAGTTTGAGGTAAATGGTTGGCTGTATTGTATCTGAACATTTTCAGAACTCGTGAATAAATAAGATTGAAACAGCATAAAAATAGCTTAGGTTATTTGAATATGCAAAGCCATGAGGTCTTGTCTCCTTAAGATAAGGAATGCTTTCGTGGAGGACTTTCTGAGAAACTAGCTCAGGCTCATATTCATGTTATTCATGGGGAAAAACAACCATGCATCCAGCCTCTTCCCTTGGGTTCAAAGGCAAACTGGGTTAAACTATTAGTATTCATTACCTTTAAACCACTGAGCCACTGGGTTAGCTTATCAACTAAATACTATCTGTCCAAATATATTAAAGTCCAAAGGATCACTAATGTGACATCTGCAGCTTAAGCTAAAAAACAGGTCACTTGTTGTGTTTATTGATAAGCCATTTAATATTAATAGTTGTGTGTAAGATATTGATGAGTAATGTTAAGAAAAAGAGGATTTTATGCTATTAAAATGTAATATCAAGAATAGGTTAATTTCAAGTTTTGAACGTTTAAATAAATTGCTTCTCTCTCTCTCTCTCTCTTTTTTTTTTTTTTTTTTTTTGTTTTGTTTGTTATAAAAAAATTGGTATATCTCTTATTCTTGAAGATCTTAAATAGATCTTCCTAAAGTGGTAGAAAATTGGCACAAGCTTTTTTTATTTAAATCTAAGTTTTTTGTGAAGCATTTTAGATACTTTACAGATGTTTAACATAATGTGTTTTAAATTCATTGTCAAAATTTTCTTAACACTTTTAGAATTATTAATTAGGTAAAATGAAAAGATAAAAATCTGATAAATGGATAATCATTGTGATATAATTCTTTGTCAAGGTGTTAAACTAGAAAAGTGCACAAAAATTTCCCTTTTATGTCTTTACAGAGAATAGTTACAGAATTTTAAAAAGTACTATTTCATATTTGTTCAGAGGACAGTTGCAATAGTCACTGTCTTTTCTGAAAAAATTCAGTGAACAAACTCTGTGAAAGAAATGGTAAACAAGTTCTAATTTTTAATGTAGTGCCAGTTAAAAGTTCTAGTTTTTAACCTGTTGCTAAGCATCAGTAGGTGAATGGAAAAAGTTGATTTGTACTGTAGCTTGTACTACACTTTTTTGGGGGGAGGGGAGTATACTGCCTGTTTATATATGTATAGTGGTATGTAATCCTTCCAAAACTGACAATCACTGTTGCCTAAAAGAATCCAGCATATATTTCCAGAAATTCATAATTGTTTCCCCTGTCATTTATTTTATTCAAAACCTGTTTATGGCATTGATTGCATATATTCAACTAATACTCCTTAGTTTTCTTCGTTGTCTCTCTCAGTACTTCATGTATATAAGTATTACGTAGGTGCATAAAGTACAAATCTGTTTGCTGATAAAATTGTAATAACATACTGGCTGGAGGAAAATAACTAATCATCTTTTTGTTCAAAAGCTTTATGAACTAAAAATCATTAGTTACTTAGCTATTAAAGTCTGAGGTGTTAGTTATCAGCACTATAATGTCGATGGGTTTATTTCAGAGCAGGAAACATGAAAAATTAGCAGTGCTTTTGCCAGGATTCGAGCTCGCAATTTTCCAATATCGAATCACATATGCCTCTAATTACACCATAAAGGCCTGTAGTAAGGAAGGAGAAAATTTACAGTAGTATGAGCTATTAAATGCTAAGAGAATTGTAATAAAAATCATTAGTTGCTATAAAGTTAGTTATTAGTAAGCTATTAAATGTATAGGGTTTTGTGCATATAATAGCAGTGTTTCTATTTCTCTTAGTAATGTGCCAATAGCATTTTTACCCTTAATTTTCAAAATTAAAAAGAAATAATCTTTAATGATGCTAAAACTGCTGCTTTCCTTTAAAAAAACTCTTAGGAAAATAAATCATATAATGTGTAATAAAAAATGCCCATATTTATTTGGTATTGGATCATCTAAAAAACCCCATTAACATGTTGACTGCCGTAGGGGGGTCACTGGTTGCCAGCACTCGACTTGGCTACAGCGCCGTGAGGGGGCACCGGTAACCAGAAATGCGATCAAGAGTAAAAATATATAATTAAGAGTAAATATTGATACAGATAAATTTTTAAACAATAACAAATGTTACTATGTTTTGAAGAGTAATAGACCGCAAAAATTTAAATAATAAATCACAAAAATGGTCTGCAGCCCTTCGGGGGGTGAGCGATGACCCTCAACAGGAAAAAATGTATTAAACATGATTACATAACTCACCTTATCTTCTGTAGATAATATTTCAACATAGTATGCATCAAATAATAAAAACATTATGTTGGCGCCATGGACAAATCACGTAAAATGCGCATGGCATTCAACGTGTTAAAATTTTTCTTACATTTAATTAGCATAACATGATGGAGAAAATATATTAAACCCTTTCATGTATTACAAGTGTTAAATACTGAATTGAGTATTTTAAAAAATCTACTATATTAAATTTTTTTAATCTGTATATTATTTGTGTGCAATTTCCTTTACAAGGACAAGTTAATTTTATTACTTCTTTCTTAATTTATAACTTTAGTTTTGGCTGGATTATGAAAAACCAATGTGCCGCCAGATGGGTTTGTCAATGATAAATCCAGTGATGAATTTTTGTGTGAAGTTTTATACTCCTGACCCTGCCCAACTGGAAGAAGAATATACTAGGTGAATATTTAATGAAGTTGTAGAATTCAGGATGTGTAGTTTATGGAATTTTCCATATTTTAACTTGAATGTCACAAGTTTTATGTATTATAATGCTCTATAATATCTGTTTTATGCTCTATAATATCTGTTTTATTTACTCTTGAAATGGAGTTTTGCTATAATTTCAAATACATCTTTATTTAGAAAAATTTTTAAATGTTAAACAAATTTATTCATAAAAATAAGAACTGCTGCCAATATTTTTTCATGATGAAAAAGTCAGTGTATGTTGTTTGAGTTGTGTTTAGCCTTTTTGTAACTAGGTAAATGTATTTAATTATATAATTGCCTCTTAATAAATTTTCTGATGGGAAATTAGCATTTTCGTCTGTTCTTTGAATTCACCTTGATTTCAGTTATTAATCAACTGTTTGATAAAATTGATATTAATTAGAACTAGAGAGCTTGAATTTTGTATTTAGAAAAGATTTTTAGTTTAAATAGAGGCAGTTGTGTTCTGCACACCATTCTGCCTGTGTATTACTCGGGCCAAATGTTTTCCATGTAATTGAATAACAGAACTTCAGCCCTTGGTGCAGTTGTAAGTTTTAAAATTCTTTTACAAGAGTGAGTTAAGGAGAATTCTCCATGGGTTGGGAAACAATGAGATAAAGATAATAGACATAAAATAAACAAGAGCATTGTAAAATGCTGGAGACATGCAAAATTAATTTGGCCTAAAATTGAGTATAATGGTAGTATAGATGATGAGCTAAAATTAAAATATTTCTTGAATTCTCTAACAAAATCTACCTTTGCTGTAAAAATAATTAAAGTTCAAGATCACCTTATTACTGACAAAGAACTGTTTCACCAACTAACACCTCAACCACTAGATAGAACCATTACCAAGCCTGTAAAGGATGCAAAAATGAAGAAGCGTGAAGGGAGATGACCAGTTTTAGAAAGCCGTAAGTGTGGTAGAGGCATGTAACTGTATTAACAAGCATGCTGTTTCATTTTGGCACTTTCTGCAGTCAATTATTGAATTGCTTCAAATTTAATTAACTTGCAAGGCTATTTTCTTATTATTTAAGAAAATGCTGATTTCATTAAAAACACTAAATGTGAAGTATATGCCTCTGAAAGTTGTTTCCTTTTTTTTTTTTAATCTCTTTTGAATAAATACATTTTTCTTTCTGTTTAAAATTATAATTTTATTCATACTAAATGCTTTAAATGCTGTCTGTATCAACTTTTTATTGTGATTTTAAGATCTGCTTGTAGCAACATTTTATTACAATGAAAAATTTTCTCAGCCTTGTGAAATTTATTATTATTTGGTTAAACTGTGTAAATAATATATGCTGTTGTTGATGATTGTGCATTGTTTATTGTTATTAATTATAAGGTCTGTATTATGTTAGGAGTAGTAATAGCGTTCTTATTAATATGTAATGAGAGGTTTTAGTAATAAGAGTGCTGAAACAGTACTATAATATTAGCATAATACGATAGTTAGTCATGTACTGTAATGTTTGTAATAAAAGTACTGTATAGTGTTATTTACAGTTTCATTAATGTTTGGTTGTTAATGCTGAGCAATGATATTCTGACCTGCCTTTTATATTTTATTCACGTTTCTTTCATTTGAGAGAATTAATTCTTAAGAATGACTGAAAGTGGTTATCATCTAATTTATTTCCTTATGAGAGTTATATCAGCTTTTGAACAAATCACACATTTTGACAGTCTGAATTTCTTCCTCAACATTTTGAGAAAGTTTAAAGTTTTATCTCACTTAAGAACTCCTGCTTGACAAAACTTTGGAATTATGAATTAATCGTTCCAAATTAAAATTTTGTTCAAGATAGTAAATTTTTTCCCATTAAATACAAAAATGTTTGTTAGCATATTGTTGCAATGGCCCTAAAGTTACAGAGGCAAATTTGATATTATATTTAAGAATTACTCATAATAATGAATTGCATAAGTTGTGCATATTTCAGAAAATGTATAATTTCAAGTAAAAATCTGTTTAATTTATAATGTCATTTATATGCTAATTGATAAAGTCTGACTAAAAACAATTCAAAATATTAACTTCTAGTAACCTGTATGTACTATTGTTAAATCATGTTGCAGTATTCCCATATTTTCTTTTCCTAATTTTGAAGAGGATGAAGCAATTATAGGAGATATTTATTTTATCCCCTCAGTAGACCCATTGTGAAAGAAAAGGATTCTTGAGTGGATTTGCAGGAGGTTTCGGGGTTGACGTGAGCATTGGTTTTTATTTTTTCTCCTATAGCAAGATTTATGGTTACGTGAAGAAACCCTGCAACATTTAAGTCCACGAAATAATTAGAGTTTATGCAAAATTTCTAAATAATTAAGATTATTAAATGTGAATTTTAAAGTCATCATAATGTTAAGATATATGAAAACACAGTTGTTAAAGATACATTAAATTGCAGTACAAAGTCTGAGATCTGGACTCGTTAGTACTTCAGCGTTTCCGAATTTGGGATTATTCCAGATATTCAATTTAAATCTTAATAAGATGACATCTAGAAATTATAAAATTTAAAAAATGAAATTGTGATTTATGACATAATTAAGCATTTATAATCTAAAGGGTATCAAAATTTACTAAAAAACAAATCTTCATATTTATTTGTTTACTTCATGAAAACATTTCTTTCAATGTAAGTTGTTTAAGTTGCTCGTTTTTTGTGCTAATACTTTCGCTTTAATTCAGATATAATTTCTTGTTCAGTTACAAAGTTGTATTGTTCAAATTCTGTAATTGCTGTGCCGAGAATTCCGACTTGTCAATCGAATTTTTTTTGTTTTCAATATCCTCTCTGTCACTTCATCTTTATCAGTAGCTGTATTTTTTAGATCTAGAACCATACTACAGATTTCACTATCCATTAATTGATTAATGATTGGAGCACTGTTAAAACTTCTGTTATGTCATCTTCATTTATTACCACTTCTCTACATTTCTTTACAAAATCCACTAATTGGGAAGTTTCATCTTTGGTTTGTGATATACAAAAACCGTCATATTCGCAGCTATCTTCTTCATAATCCTCACTATGAAATATGGAAGTGGCCATAAATTATGCCAAACATTTTTTAAAGTATTTGGGGACACATCCTCCCACGATCTTGCAATGCTGCACACAGCAGATTTTATGCTAAAACATTTCAAAAATTCTTGAATAGTGTTGCCATTATTCAAGAAATTCAGTATGGATTTTTAATAATGCTACCTTATATTTGCATTTGAGCACTTGCACTCTTCCGCTATTATTTAGAGGAACGAATAGTCTGGATACGTTATCTTTCAGTAAAATGTTAAATGAAGTATGAGCCAAACAGTTGTCTACAATCAAGAGTAATTTTTCAGCTAAATCATTTGAATCCAAATGTTGCCGAGCCTCACTTTGGAATCTTTGACACCAGTTGCAGCTTTTTCTGTAGAGCTTGCCAGGCACTGTACATATTGTCAGAAAAGCACAGGTTCATTAGCCTTGTAAGTTGTTCTGGAGATAACTTTTCACTATTAACGAGTTCAATGAATCCATCTACAAGTAATTCAGCAGCTTCAGTATCACCTGAAGCTTTTTGACCAGAAATTTTGAATTGCCATATACCGTGCCGATTTTCAAATGTAGTTAACCAACCTGTTGAATATGTGAACTCAGTTTTTAAATTCATTTCTTCATGAAATATTTTGGCTTAAGCCATTAGCATTGAACCCATCAATGGCACATCCTCACCTCGACACTCTCTGACCCATTCAAACATCACTTTGTCATGATTGTCATTTTTAGCATAATGAATAATTTTTCTGCTATTCATTGCAAATTAGTCGACAAAATCTTCAAAACGTTGATTTTTCTGTTGTCTTATGTCATAAATAGTTAGTTGACTTTCTAGCGCCATAATCCTCACATAATTTTGATGGATATATCTTTATCCATTTTTTTGTAGCACTTCCATTTTTTTTTGTTTAATTGACATCAAAACATACTTGCAAAAAATTTAAGCTGGATCAAATCAGAAAGTTAAGGAACAGCACAATTTGCTAAATTAACTGAAATTCCTTGGAATCAATAAAGTGTAGATTTAGCATATCTTCATAACATTTCTATACATTATTGGCTATGTATCATGACATTGGCAACGAAAAAAAAGTTGTTCCACTAAATTTCGTCTTGCTTCTGTCGTGCACTGAGACAATTAAGCCTGAATTGTATTAGTTGAGTTATTTATTATGCTTACGTCTATTTCTTTCACATGCTTAAGGCTGAGTCCTGAATGATATTCGTAAGTAAATAACACATATACTTAAATGGGTTGTCACTCCTAGTGTCGGTCTCTACTTTATGGAACTTTTCTGAGAAACGAGATTTTGGTAGAATTATAGGGTATTTCTCCCACTTTCCTAGCGTGCCTTCGTGGTGTAACGGTAGCATGCTGAGCCAGTATTCCAGAGGTTCGTGGTTCAATTCCTGGTGAAGGCGTTTGCATATTTTTCATCTTTTCTGCTTCCAATTTAACCTAATGACTCTACAAGTGGCGCCCGAACTAAAAGGGTTGTTTATGATGATTCTTCGCACCCAGGATTTGGCGACTAAATCTCCTAAAACCCCTAGTCGCTCTTTAAAAAGGGGAGTATATAAGGTATTTCTCCCACTTCCCTAGCGTGCCTTTGTGGTGTAATGGTAGCACGCTCGGCCGGTATTCCAGAGGTCCGTGGTTCGATTCCCTTCGAAGGCTGTTGCATATTTTTCATCTTTTCTGCTTCCAATTAACCTAATGACGCTACAGCATTAGTTTAAATGGGAGGGTTCCTAGAAGAAACAGCTCTGCTGTAAACGAAGTTCCGCCAGCTACGGGAATGATGTCCCGGCTGTGTGGGATATTTTGAAACTTTGCCGAAAAAGTTCCATCTGCAGCTCTGTCCCTCATAGAGATCAACCAATTGGGTGAAAGTTCTGCTT